GATGAATTGATTTCTTTTAATGACTATTTAATTTTTGGGAAAATCTGGATGTTTTTTTTTCACCACAAGCCTACCTAAAAAAACAACAACAACAAAAAAAAAAAAAACAAAACAAAAAAAAAACAATAAATAAATAAATAAAAATCAATCCACCAGCTGCAGCTGATCCAGAACGCTGCTGCTGGTGTTCTGATTAAAACCATCAACGCAGTTCTACAGTCCTTATACTGATAGAATAGACTTTAAAATACTATTGTTAGTTTATAAATCACTGAACAGCTTAGCAACACAATACTTTAAAGATCTGCTGCTGTTGTATCAACCTTCCAGACCTCTCAGGTCTTATGGTTCTGGTCTGCATCCAGAACCAGAACCAAACGAGAAGCAGCGTTCAGTTTTTATGCTCTTTTAGACCTAACAGTTTTTGTTTCATTGTTGAGGACCCTCTACACCAGTATTTCCTAACCCTCGTCCTCAATGCTCTCTGCCCTGCATGTTTTAGGTATTCCCTTGCTTCAGACCAGCTGATTTCAATTGATGACTGTTTAACAGATGTTTGTTGAACTGCAATCAGTTGAATCAGGCACATTAAAGCAGGGAAACCTCTAAAACATGTAGGACAGTGTGCCTTGAGGACCAGGGTTGGGAAACACTGCTCTACAAAACCTGTGCTCACTGACTGGGTGCTACAAGGTTTTTTCAAACAGAAAATGTTTGAAAAAGCTGAAAAATCCTTCCATCTTCACAAGGCTGGGAGAATTATTGATCAGAAACATTTGAGAAGATTACCAGAAGGAGCCTGCCTGCAGGAGAAAATTATGAATAAAAGATGGATATTAAAGACTTCTGCACTATGACCTCATGATTCATGAGGTCAGGACATTAAAGCTGCAATATGCAACAAATAATATGATTTTTACATATTTGTTAAAATGCTATGACAGTTAAATATAAGACAGATAATCTGTGAAAAAACTGATCTCGTCCACCTCCTCCCTGAGCTACTACTACAGTCTGAAGTAATGCACCGCACCCGACCCAAAACAACCAATCAGAACCAGGAGGAAGGTCTTAGTGCTGTCAATCAACCTTATGTACTCACTGCTAAATGTCCCAATGGCAGAGAACCAACTCAGCCATTAGCGGATGGCAGATAAGCAGGACAACTGCTTATCTGCCATCAGCGGCGGCTACGCTAACTAGCCTTAGTATTCATGACAGGCTCTGCTGACAGGCAGAAGATGTTTGACAGCAGGGAGCAACAAGGTTTATAGGATTGGGGGTGAATGGCGCGCATACAGATATGATTGACATGCCAAGACCCGCCTCCTGGCTCTGACTGGTTGTAGAAACAACCAAAAATCTAGCTCCTCTGCCTTCTGGGAGAAGAGCTAGATTTTTTTCATAGATTATCTGTCTCCCAAATGGCGATGTTCTAAACAAATACGTAAAAAACTATTTTTTTTTTTTTTTTAAATAAAGCTTTAAGTAGCTCAGCTGAATCACATGTCTAGTTCAGAAGGGTTTGTCAAGCCCAAACTCCACCTGCAGCTCTCAGTTTCTTGCTCAGGAGCCGCATAGTGTCACTGCCAAACGCAGCAGGCAGCATGTAGCCCCAGCTATATACACACACACACACACACACGCACACGTTTGTGTGGCTATCTTTGTGGGGACTTTCCATTGACTTCCATAGCCTAAACCTTACCCTTAACCTAACCATTACATACCTAACCATAACCCCGAACCAAAACTCAATTCACACCTGAAGCCTAAATCTAACTCCTGACCCTAAAACAGTGTTTCTCCTTGTGGGGACCAGGCTACGGTCCCCACAAGGAGCAGTGGGTCCCCACATTGTAGTATGTCAGGAAAATGGTCCCCACAATGTATTACAAACAAACGCGCGCACACACACTTACTAGCTTTCAAACCGGGGGGGAAAAGGGTGCAGACGCATTCATCTGACACTGGATCACTTTGAACCCTACCAAGTCTTGTCCCATTTTAGAACAAACCAGGAACGTAGCGGATGTATCGCTGCAGCGCTCACGCTGCTCTCTGTTGCAGAAAATTGGGCATATAATTACCACTGGAGTGGATTTGCTTACTCATCTCCTCCTCTGCAGATAAATGAAAGCTGCGCACCGCCGCACACCTTGTTCTCATCGGTTCAGCTGAGTGGGACAGGTGGTGCCGGACACTCAGCGGGAAGGGGAGGCTCCTACCTACAGCGCTGGCATCCTCTCCTCTCCTCCGACGTACTTTCACCACCCACGCACAACGGCCCTGCAGATGGGCTCCGGTGTGGCACCAAGCCCGATGCTCCTTTGCAGGCCTCCGCCGCATGCTAACACATTTTGACTGCGAGACATTTAAAACCTGCAGGAACAAGGTCAAAGAAGAGGAAGACAAAAAAACAGGCCAGAAGCTGTGGATCGGTTGTGAATTGAGACAATATTTTGGTGGTTTATAGAAGATTTGAAGATTATCTCTGCTAGATTATGAAACTTTTCATGCCATGTAGGAGGCACTGGAAGTATGACGGGAGGTGTTCAGATCAGATGAGAACAAAATTAAGAGTTATGGTCACAATAAGTGACACCCTGAAGAGGAGGTAGATTCATACTGTGGGGATGATTCTGTTCAGCAGAGACGGGGAATCTGGTTAGAGTTGATGGGGAAATGGATGGAAATAAACAAAGCAGATGGAGGCTGTAAACAGAGGTGGAGGTTCACCTTCCAGCAGGGCAACTACATTCACATCACACTTAGAACCACATGATTCATGTGCTATCACAGCTGACTCTGGAGGAGCAGCTCCTCTTGGTTTCTCACCTTTTGCCTTGTGGTAGTTTTTGATATTAAAGAGGCAGTAGTATGTTTACTCCAGCCACGTAGTGCCATTTTATAGCACGATAAAGTAACTATGTTACACAGGTTTTAAATGTTATAAAATACTAAATCAAATAGGGCTTAAAAGAAAACTGACTTCGTAATTTAACGCATTGAAATTGAGCCTCTGTCTCGTTAACAACTCCTGCTCTTTCTGAAACTCCACTTTCAGGAAGTCATCACAACATGGCTCCTCTATTAACTCTGTAACAAAGTTGTTTTTTAACCAGCATTTCACCGAGAAGTTGCTCATATAATGAGCTCAGCAGATGTGGAGTTCAACCAGATGTTTGCTAATTGCTCCTGGCTAGTCTGAAGGAGCAGAGTGGAGGGAGGGCTGCTCTGTGAGGCAGAAGCTCAGAAACTTGAAAAGTGAGGCTATGAGGTGGAGCTTCGTTCCTGGAGGCTGAGTTAGGTCCACCCAAGGGCTTTGCACAGCTGCATGGTTGCCATGGAGATTAAAGGATTACTAAAACATGAATTAAAGAATCAATGCAACACTGTAGTGATGAGGGAACAACATTATAACATGATGTAAAGATAAAAACATTGATATTGCATAATACTGCCACTTTAAAGCTGAAGAATTTGAAATACCTGAGTAGCAGTGGGAGAGGGGGGATGAGGGTAACAGCTGGTGCAGTCATGCATCTGTGGGGTTGCAGGAACCTCCTGACCTTCTTATCAGGAGGTCAGCATTAATGACCAACATGAACATCAGCTGTCCAAAAGGAACCAAAGGAGATTTAAATGTTCCCGTCATCAACCACTGACTGCAGCTTTATGGCGATTAAACCTTTTCATTACCCATTGATGTGCTGCAACAAAACCTCCCAAACAGGATTAGGCTGAAGTGTGAAACACAACCACTTCTGATGCTACGGTCCTTTTTAGAAAATCTGCTCACAATTAGAGGGGCTGCAGTGCTTTAGGGCAGGATTAGCGAACAAAGAGATGGGAGATACACTGAATGAAGCATCCAAAGCTCTTCCCTTCCCTGAACTTTTTGCCGTGCCATCAGCTCCTGGCAGAGAGCATCCCGTCATCCCTTCCATCCCTCACGCCGTGTTGTTTGTGTCAGGATGAGTTAGTGCTGCTGGGGTGGCAAGCAGACGTGCTTCGTTTGAGCGCCGAGAATGGAGGGAAAAAAGGGGCACATTCATTCATCAACAGGATGCGCAGTGCAATTGTGGCAGCAAGAGTAAAGTAGATAAATGGCTAATCACCTGAAGAAATGAGATGATTCATCTCTTCCTGATATTACGCTCGTTTAAGGACCGCCAGCGGGGATCCATCAGTGTCTGCTACAGAGCAGACTATCTTGTTTGTTACGCTGTGTGAACTCTGAATGTTTACACCCATAAAAATATAAAAAATAAAAAATCTTAATTAAAACACAAAGTGTTTTCAGTGAACATAGAGCAAATATGGGTAAAAACAGGAGTGAAGAGTGAAGGTTGCAGAATTAACCAGTCAAGTGGGATAATTGTAGCTTTTGAGATTAGCAAGGAAGATACCATCATGCTTAACAACCTGGTTGTTCAATGAGTAGATTTTTATTATCCGTGATAAAATATTTGTTTATTGTTCAGCAAAATGAATCTGATTCTGTATACAAACGATGTGTAAAAAGGTTTAGCATTAACCTTTTGTGGCAACATCAAAATCTGAGACTATAGAAAAAAAATTAAACCTTTTATTTGAATTCATTTATTCAGCGTCCCACTTTAAAGTGAGCCAAATTTAGTTAAACACGTTGGCTTAAATATGTTGTCATTTTCCTATCAACTAAAAAAAATGCTCTTTGTGTTAAGTAATAACTCACAATTACTTCAAAAATTGAGTAAGAGCAAAATTGATGAAGAAGCCAACAGGTGGTCGTTACCCTAAAGTTAAAACCAAGCCGTGCTAGCTGGCACCTAAAACTCCGGCTAGTGAGCGAAAGACGCTGGGAGAAACATTAAATGCAGGCAGCTGGAAGCTCTTTAAATGATCAAATTATTTCCACTGCCGCAGGTACCAAATGTGAAACCATGGCCCCTACACCGGACTGAAGATCAGAACCTAAATAGGTTTAACCCGACTGAAGACCGGACAAGACTTACTGTGGTACCAGAGGCAGGCGTCATTCATTGTTTCGTTTATGAAGCTTGCAGCAGCAGCACAAACAGCAACTTCTTCAGGCAACTCTTCCTCCGTCTGGTCCTCCTCATCTTCATTACTCCTTGTGTTTTCTACAGTTTCAGAGCGCTACGGTTCAAATTGAGAAATCTTAAGACGTTACCTACTGCTCTTTTGGCTGGACGAAAACAGCGCGAACAGACCTAGCATACCTCATTTACCCAGAATGCATAGCAGCGCCAACAACATGCCACGTCTCTGACTACTTTAAGTTTATGAAAACCAAATAGCCTACAGTATTTTCATTGCATTATTTTTTTTTACATCTAAAATATTTCTCAAAGTCTACTGCTCATTTTAATTATTTGGCTATTAAAATTAGTCAAATAACCGTGGCTCATTCTAATGATATAAACAATTTTTTTAGTTGCATAATTATTGGTACAAAAACAAGCATTCTTTCATTATTAGGCCTGAGCAGGAAATATATTGACTTTTTGAAGGTCTAACAATATATGAAAACTCACCGAATTTTGTTGGCTTACCAGTCTTGGTAAAAATGACTATAATGCAAAAGTCGCAACAGAAAGAGCTCAACAGAGCCACTTGGCAACTTTCAAAACGCTGTGCTCATTTAGGTTACCTTACTGCAAAGGTCTGAAGTTTGTCACATTTATAGAACTTCCCAGGACCTACAGAAGTCTCCTGCAGCCGTGGGCTGGGGTCAAAGTCCAGGCCCTGTCTATAGACAAGTATACAACAAACAAGACGTCAGCCATGTTGGATTGAACCTTTTTTTTTTTTTTTTGAGTTGTTTTTAAGCTCTGCATTTCATTGAACTTTTCTTGGCTTGAAAATTGGTGAGTTTGGGGATCTAAAGTGATCAAAGTCCTGAGTTTTCCTGCAGGTTGAAGTGGGGTCACACCATGGCCATAGGTTTGGCTGTAATTTCCACATATTTCATCTGATCTGCACCAAACTGAACATTTATTTTTGTTTTTCTTCACATCACAACCAATAAGATTTTTTACATGTCTGATGCTGATCAGCATTTACAGTGGGGTCAAAATCAGTGTTTTCTGGGTGCCAAACTTCTTTTGTCTAGTTCCTGGCTGCCAAATTATTTCATTAATGTTTTCAACCAATTCAGATAGAGAAGCAGCAAAGTCTATCTCTGTAAAGAATTAGAAATGTCTCTACTGTGTCAACAACACATTTCTGAGCCACTGTATGCTGTGCATGTTAACAAAAAGGCATTCTTCTGAAAATAGAAGTTGGCCACTGAACTGAAAATGATGGGAGGAGCAGCAGCAAAAGCTCAGAAACAAACAAGAACGACCTCTGCAAATCCTGCAGAAATACTGACACTAGTTTTAAAGATTACAGGGCTGGTTTGACTGTTTGGAGGTAAAAATGACTAACTGCAGCATCTAGACTTGAAACAAAAGGCCAACTCAGCCAGAACTAAACAGCAGAAATGAGTATATAAATCTAGATTACATCCATTTAGTTTACAAGCAGAGCAGCTGTTTACACAACATGATGCGAGTCTGGGAAGCAACAGTTGCAGTGACCTGCCAACCACAGTAAAGACCCCCGTCTCCCTCTCCCCCCCCACACACATCCATTCATGTGACGGTGTGCAGCCCCCTCAACGCTCCCACACAGTAAACTGTTTCCTGGGCCAGAAACTAGCCATCGCTAGGCAACAGGGGGAAACCTGCAGCACAGGGCTGACTCCGTTGCTGCTCGAACTGAGTGGCATCACTGATGGAAGACAAAAACCCAAAGGTAGAGCTTAAAATTGCACAAATAGGAATTATGGAAATAAATTTGCTTAACAGAAGCACAGCAATTAAAAAAAGGCACATTTTTCATTAAGTATTTGTGCTAGGATGCGGTGGTTTTTCCAGCTGTATTGAAATTGATGTATTTCGCAAAACTCCAATCAAAACACTTTTTTCATATCAGGAGTGATGTGAAAAAAAATTGCTTGTGATCAACAGCTACGACTGGCTGAAACGACAAAGACAATAACAGGTAGTGGTTGGAGGATTAACGACTTATTGCGTGAGCAAAAGTATTCACGTGGGACATTAATTGCATTATTTAATGGAAACACCGCAATTGTGAAATTGTGTTTTCTCCACATTATCGAAATATCGATAGTTTTGTGCACATTTCTCAACAAAAACAGCCCTTTGATGCCTTTGAGAAGCTGGAGTACCCAGGGTAAACCCACAAATGCAGAGGGAGAACATGCAGACTCCAGCAGGCTCTCTGTGAGGTAAATGAGCTTCCAGCTTCCATGTTTGAAAAAGTCCATAACTTGAAACTTCTCCACCTGATTCTTGGTTTTAAAATCATTGCTGTTATTTGTTTTAGATTCACTTCAGCCCAGAAAAATTAGGATAACTGAGGAGCTGAGATGATGACCATCCAGGAGAATTTAACCAAATAGTTTTGCTTTATTGACCATATAAGATGCCTTCACAGAGGTAAACAAAAACAGACAACTGATATGCTTGAAATGAAAAAGAAAAACCCACATTTTATTGCACTTAAGTTATAAGAAAATAAAATTCTAAGTGAATCAAACAAATACACAATCCCTTTCAGGTTTTTTTTGTCTGTTTTTAGTTTGTTTGTTTTTTTTGTTTTGTTTTTTTTGCTGTTTTTTGCCAGGCAGTTTTACATGAACTGAACAAAATAAAAACACCTGCAACAAATCTGATTTCTCAAACCAGATCATAAATTAAAAACAGACGGAGAAAACAACAGGAGGAGATAGAGCGAGATTGTTTTCTTTCTTTCTTTCTTTCTTTCTTTTTTTTTAATATACAGTGTTATACCACTTTCACAGTTCAGCTGGAGCTGTGACTCTGGGAGGTTTTGAGACGACTTGTTTTGGCTACAAGGTGTTTTGTCTGTGTTCGTTTCGGTGGAACACCGAGACGCTCCGCGGCCCGACCTGCCAGCTGATGCCTGATGGTGGTCTCCTCTGTTGCTTCAGACACCTGTGGAGGGGCAAAAGAAAAAAAAAAAAGAAAAAAAAAAAAGTCTCTCACACAGACATATGGGCCATTCTCTCATTCACAAGTTAAAATCAGTACATCTGTTAGTTTGATTTATTTTTTAACCTTTTTTGTTTTTTGAAGCCAGTCCTCCACGCAGCATTTCGACATTTTTCCCAAAGAACAGGCTGGAGAAGCGTTGTCCCGAGGAATGTGATAACAAGCTGCCAGCTAACACACTTTAACACACACACACACACACACACACACACGTTCTCTAACAGTGTTACAATTCCCCCTCGTTTGTGTCTCCTGTCAGTTTCTGTTGGACGCGCTCCCTCCTCGTAGCCTCAAACGCAGAGGCACGTTTGGCTCAAGTTTCAGTGGCAAAAAAAAAAACAAAAAAAAAAAAAAAAAAACCCCCCCCAAAAATGGTGATCACGTCACGTCATGTCGCCTTTCTGGTTTAAGTCCAAACGTACAGAGTCCTGTGAGGAATTTCGCCTGTGGACTAAAACGTCACAGCAAGTAGAAGCTCCATTCTCTGGTTCCGGTTCCTCTAGCAGCATTAGATTCAGTTTGGCCACTCGGGGGGGCGGGGGCAGGGTGGAGTCAGGGGGCGGGGTCAGTGGATAGTAGAGGTGTTTGTCCTCAGCCCTCCAGCTTCTGAGGAAACCCCCCCCAGAGCTGAACAGCACTGACGGTAACAGAGACCGGACCGGATTCTTCCTCTAATACTGAAATTCTGCATGAAGCATAAAACCAACAACAACAAACAACAACAAAAAAAAACAAAAAACCTCTTCAGATCCTGAAATTCACAGTTGTGTTTATGTGGAGAAATCAGAAGTCCAGAAAACCGAGTGCAGAGCGATGAGAACGGAAACGGAGTGACGGAAACGGGCCGGACCACCCCGACGCCCCCCCACCACGTCCAGCAGCTCTTTGGGAGGAACTGTGAGGGGAAGCCAGTCATCATGGCCGTGTGATGACTGTATGCACACGCTCTGATAGGAGGGAGGGGATGGATGGGTGGGGGGGAGTTTTAAAAAATAATATCTCTCTGTACATCTGAAAATCTGTCCGACTCGAGCGAAAGCGGGTTCTCTGTGCGAAGCCGGCCGGTTTCAGGGGAGTTCGCTCTGTTTCTCCCTCCAGATCACCTTCAGCAGGAGTGGCCGGGGGTCAGAGGGGACTGGACTGAGTTTGTCCGTAGCAGGAACTCAAACGGGAGACGCGGACAGCGACGGGTTTTGTGATTGTAGACTCTCTGAGTGTAAATGAAGAGTTTTTGGGTCTCCGGGCTCCCGTCCCCCTCCTCTCTCTCTCTCTCTCTCTCTCTGTGGATCGCTCTCTTCGTCCTTCCACGGCATGTTCCCCTGCACCACTTCCTGTCACTTCATGTCCACGTCAAAGTCCAGCACCAGCAGCTTGGTTTCCTCCGTGCCGTTGCGGCTGCCCACGGCGCACACCAGCTTGGTGTTGGATGCCCGGATGCGCCACACCACGCCGCCGCTGCCGCCGCTCTCCAGGGTCACCAGGTTCCGGATGAACTCGCCCGTCTTCAGGTCCCACAGCTTGACAGTGCCGTCATCAGAGCTGGTGATGACAAAGTTCTTGTTGAACTGGAGGCACGTCACGGCACTCTGGTGCTTGTGGGGACCTGGACCAGACAGACAAAGGACGGTTAGGAGAAGACAGGACCAGGAATTTGTTTGGTGGCGTTTGGGCTTCAGCACACAAACTTCACCAGATGAGAAAAACCAAGAGAAACCGTCAAAAAATACACCAAGAAAACAACAGTAGTTGTGAAAATATGACTTTAAAATACTTCTGTTAGTTTAATAAATCACTGAACTGTTGTATCATCCTTCCAAACCTTCTCAGGTCTCCTGGTTCTGGTTCTGCTCTGCATCTCCAGAACCAGAACCAAATGAGGAGAAGCAGCATTCAGGTTCTATGCACCGCTAATCTGAAACAAACTTCCAGAAAACTGCAAAACAGCTGAAACACTGAGCTCCTATAAATTTATACTAAAACCTGCACAGATGTAATGGCACCAATCAACATGCAATGTTTATTGGTTTTGCAGTTGGTCACCTTATGATGCGTTTATGAATTTTTAAAATGTTTTCATGATGTAAATCACTTTAACTGCCTTGTTGATGAAATGTGATGGAATATTTTTGCAACAGTAGATTTTTAGTTTATTTTGAAACAGTTTGACATCACTTATGATGAATATTCAAAGTGCATGTTTGTCAATGTTTTGCCATCCAATTGGTCTTTCTGAGATGGCAGAGATCCAGCTCCAGAGTTTTGATCCAACTTTTTTGATTTAAATAATTTTCTATCATAACCTTGACCCCCTGCACCTTCCAGTTGCTCTGTGCTTCCTGCCAGAAGACGGGAAGAAATTGAGAAAATATGTACTGAAATATTAAACCTCTTCTGCTCAGTTCTGGTCTGATGCAGCGAGAGAACGGCTCACCGACACCTTCTGGGTTTTTTTCTTCTCATTCTAGTTTTTAGTGACAACTAAAATGAGATTTTCCAGCCCATCACTTACTTCCTCTGAACTTATGAACTGGTAACAGTCATTCCTTCAGCGGGAGGTGGAGCTCGGCTCGGTGTGTCTTGTGGACCATTTAAGTCAGTGTGAAAGCGAACACCTGAAAACTGCGTTTCTGTCATGTTGGACAATTTGTTTCTACAACAAGATCATGTCTGCTGGCCTGAAGAGAACTAGATTAATAAGCCAAGTTATAGTCCCAGTGATCAGAGCCAACGGCTGCGACTGGCATGGTTTCCACTGTCGTTTTGTTTCATATTAGTCTGTCTGGATCAGCGAGGTTTATCACCTCCTATAAAGCTTTACAGGAAAAATGTACTATTTTTTATTATTTTTTTTATCACTGAAGGTCCTGAAAAGTTTAGTTGGAACAGATCAGGAAGACTGAACATGCAATAAAAGCTGCTGCTAATGTAAGGGTGGGTGGATGGATGGAAACACCGATGATATCACTTAGTTTAAAATAATAATGAATTTAAAGGGGCAGTATTATGGGTTTTACAGCCACAAAGTGCCATTATAGCACAATCAAATAACTCTGCAACCTTCAGTTGTTATAATACATTTAATATATATGCATATATCAAGTATGACTTAAAAGACATTTTACTTTATAATTTAACATCTTGAAATTGGGCCTCTGACTCATTCAGACTCCTGCTCTTTCTGAAGCTCTGCCTTCCAGAAGTCATCACAACATGTCTCCTCTATTAACCCTTTAACAACATTTTTACCAGCATTGCACTGAGTAGCAGCTCCTATAATGAGCCCAACAGATGCCGTTCCGCCAGGTGTTTGCTAATTGCTGCTGGCTAGTCTGAAGGAGCTGAGTTGGGGGAGTCATGGAGGAGGGCTGCTCTGTGAGGCATAAGCACAGTAGCTTGGAAACTGCTGCTATAAGGAGGAGTTTCATCCTCGAAGGCGGTGCTAGGTCCATCCAGGTGTTTTGCACAACTTAATGGTTACCATGGAGAATAAAGGATTTCTCAAACATGTATGAAATAATCGAGGCAACACTCCAAGTATGTTTATCAGGAATAAACATACTTGGAATAACGTAATGTATGAGAATAACATAACAGGATGTAAAGCTAAAAAAGTGGATTTTACATAATGCTGCCCCTTTAAAGAATATTTCAGTGTGAGGATGAATTCTCTGGTTTGAGTCCCCTCCCTAAGAACCTATCCCTTAACCCCCACCTGCCCCCACCACCATGCTGGCCTCCTTTCTGACACTACAAAGCAGCTTCATCAGAACCTTCATCATGGTCCAGTGACAGTGAAGACCCTGTTGCTTCACTATGGTCTAATCAGAACACACTAATGACCGGCAGGAATCATCATGACCTCATTATTTGACCTACAAAGATCTGTAGCCCCTTCCTGCTGGAGCCCTCTCCTCCCCCGTCTCGTCTCTCCAGTCTCTCACTGGGGCATCTTTTTGTTCAGATGCTGTTCTGGCATGTGGGGGGCCAGCTCACTGGACTGCAGGCTGCTAATGAGGGCATTTAGAGACGGGGCACCAGTGACAGCCATGGGTATTCAGGAAAAGGACTTTGGTCTTACAGTGAGGCACTAAGTCCTGGTAATGGAGATAAAACTATTCAAATGGACACAAAGGACACAAGGGAACAAGCAGCAAGAGGAAGAAAAGAAGAACCAGGATCTCAACACACAGCAGGAGGATCTGTAACATCACTGATGTAACTCAAATCCTCAAAACGATGCTAGCGCCTGGTTGATCCACATCAACTTCAAAAGTTTTCTTTTCTCAAAAACAAAATGTTAGGTTGCTATGAAACTGGATCTGCATCAGAGGACAACATGGACTGAACACAGCTGGTCCGACTGAAACTGGGGGGAATCGGGTCAGTTTTTCAAGACCATTGAGCCGAGGTCCATGACTACACGGCCGCTCTTCAGTTGTCGTTCTATCGGCATCCAACGTATGATCAAAGTTTTAGGGTGCACTCACACCAGTCAAACTCTCGCTCTTTTGTCTAGAAAGTCCAGTCCGCTTGGTATGGGGAGGTGTGAACTTCATTCAGTTCAAATGAACTCTGGTGCGGTTTGAATGCATGTGTGAACATCAAGCGGAACAGAGACCGCTCCAAAAGCAGGAGGCAGACTATACCGCATGGCATTCTGGGTAAATGCAACACACAAATCTTGTGCTAGTGAAAGAAGTGGCTTCTGGACTTTGACCAAAGGCAAGAGAGAAATCCTACAACTGCTAAAATCTAGCGGCACTCCATTTTTGTTTACATTTTGTGAAGATGGAAGTTGCGCTCATGTCTTCCTCAGAGGTTTTCATGTTGATTCCTTCAGTAGTTCTTGGTGCAGCGCCACCACAGGCGAGGGGGAGAACAGGTTTTCCAAGGGTTTGGTTCATTTGAGTCAGTGCAGTGTGAAAGTGAACTGCAGCAGCTAAAAATGTAACAAATGAGTTTAGCCCCACCATCATTAGCTTTTACACAATATGATGGCTGTTTATTATGCTTCAATATTAGAAGGAGGTGAAGTGTGAAAGGAACAGAAAATATGTCACGGTATCAGTGTTTGCTAGAATATCTATGGCTGTAGAATAAATAGAAAATTTATCACCATCACAATGTTTTTACAAGGTTGTTACTGGACACACTTACAAAATACATTGGCTAAATATATAAAAGCAACACATTTGTACTGGGCATTCAATAACATACAGTCAAGCTCAGAATTATTCATACCCCCGGGATCTTTAGGTTGAAAGTAATCCTTTAATTTTACCAACATGTTTCCAACTGGAAGCAGCGTTGGTGTTTGGCAGCCATGCTCCTCCATTATGTCTGACGGACGTGATGCCAGCATGAATGTGATAGCAGCGGCTGTTTGCTACTGTCTGCATAATGATAACTAATAATCCTTTGACCTAGCAGCCGATCAACAAGCTCACGCTGCTTCCAGAAATCACCTGTGTTTCCCATGGCAACACAGCTCTGATTCTTCTGACCCGAGGTCAGCTGCAGTCCACGTACCGCACCACATGTTTACAACTTGTGTGGTTTTATCAGGAGATGTGAATTATTAAATACTCATCAATAATTTCTGCTGTACATCAAAGTTCTTCACAAAGGTGAGGATGCCCACATTTTCATCAATAATAAAACAATCATCTTCAGGTTCTCCTGAAGTAAACAGCTAAGCAGATGTTTCTACCTCAAGTGAACAAACAGAAGATTTATCAACCCTAAGGGTCAGATAAGTTACTTCCATCCCTGGTGCTTATAATCTTTTATTTGTGCCATCAAAGCTGCAGTATGACACTTTTACAAAAATACTTTTTTTGCCCCATATTTTTGAAAACTGTCACCATGTTGTGATAGTGCAATATGAGAAACATAATCTGTGAAAAATAAAGCTTCTCCACTTCCTCACAGTGCTGCTGTTGCCATCTGAGGAAATACATTGCTCCAGGTCAAAACCAACCAATCAGAGCGAGGAGGAGGGTCTTAGCTTAGGTATTAGGTCAATTAACTTTGTGAACGCACTGCTAAATGAGTTAATGGTGGAAAAATAACTAACCACCACAGAAAAACTGTTTACCGCCATCATTAGAGGCCACAGTAATGATGGCATTGGTAGCATGCTATATTATGGTGAACTAGCTGGAAAGAGCCAGTGGGAGAGGGTGAGGATGAGAGTGATTAACAGCACTAAAACGCTCCTCCTGGCTCTGATTGGCTATTACTGACTGAGTGGTGTATTTATGCAGTTAGTGCTGGAGCTCGATTTTTTTTTCACAGATTACCTGTCTTACGATATGACATGATAATTTTAACAAATATGTAAAAAAAAAAAAAAAAAAAAGGGAGTGAAAGCAGCAGCCATGTGTGTTCACCTTGCAGCGTTTGGAGACACTGGCCCGTCTTGATGTCCCAGATCTTAACAGTGGAGTCTGCGTTGCCTGAGACCAGGATGTTGTCTTTCAGCTCCATGCCGCTGGTGAGGGACTGGTGACCCGTCAGGGTGTGGATGCAGTTCCCCGTCTCCACGTCCCAGACCCTGATGGACGTGTCCAGGGAGCCGCTCACGACGTGGATCCCGTCAAACTGGGAGAATCAAAACGATCGCTTTAAATATATTCAGGCAGGGTAACTGCAGCTGGCAGCTGATTGCAAAAAAAAAAAAAAACATTTAGCTGAAGCGGCGTTCTTGCTTACAAACTTTTGATTAAACTCATTGAAAGGGATTGAATTTTATTGATCTGCCGGAGCTCATCTTTTTTGTCTGTATGTCCAGTAGAAGGAAGAGCAGTTACAGTCTTACAAAGAGGAGGCGACACAAAATCCATCTATTAGAGTAAACAGATTGGTCATTACTCATTGGAGAACATCTTAAAGACAGAAAACCGCTTTCATTTATACAAAATTTAAAAACTACATAGCAAATTAAATCAACATAACTGAGTTCCAAACATGATTGAAGTTCCCCACCAACTTCTTCATAACAAACCAAACTGGTGTCAAATGTTTGTGCTACGTTTATGCAGCAATGTTTTTTGTTTGCAAAATGGATTTTGCAAAAAAAAAAAAAGTTTGCCATTTTGGAATGGATTTTTCCATCTTCCTTAAATTGGGGAAATCATTTTAAAGATTTTTTCCAGAAGTCCTGAAATGTCAACCAATTCTCTTCACATTTCAACTAAATTTGTGTCAACTGCTACATTTTTTTAGCTGCAAAAAATAGAAAAAAAAAATCAATTTTGTTTGATTTTGTTGATGTGTGAGGAGGATATATTTTGATATATTTTGCTGCACAAGCCAGCAAAATGTAGCAGAGTTGATTTGCGGGGCTGGAAACATTTATTGATATATAAATTATTAGTATCTTTAAAATGATAGCAGCACAAACAAATATTTGCACAAACCACCAGTAATGTAGCACATTTACCAGTTGATTTGGTAAATGTCGAGGGCTTGGTCCACTTTTCATGATGTCTGGAAACATTTATTAATCCATCTGAAAACATGGTCTGAGTTTATGGGGTAGGAGTTCAAAAGTTTCTTACTCTTTTTCAAGCATGTTAAGATTATTGTGGTACAAAATAACTTTTGCATTCCTTTTTCATGACTGTTCTTTTATTAAGCTATTATGTTCAAACTAAAATAGATAAATAAAAATGAATAAAAACATATTAAAAGAAGTTTCTAGAGGTCATGAAAGGTCGACCAGCCAGTCCAAATTTGCAAAATTCAACAAAATGTGATGTTAATAAACTGTGCTACATTTGTGTAGCAACAATTTTCATTTCTCCTCTGACATTTTAAAGATCTTAACAAATGTTTCCAGAAGTCACAAAAGATCAACCAGCCTTCCCAAATTCACTTTGGTGAAATTTAAACGGCACACAAAGCGTGAGAAAGACACACGCCACCTAGAGGCGGCTCTTGGAGCTGACTCAGCTCACCTGTAAGGAGTACACTCTGTTGGTGTGGCCCTGCAGCGTGTGGAGGCAGGTCTCCGTCTCTGGGTCCCACACTTTGACCATGAAGTCGTAGGCCCCGCTGACCACCCGCCGTCCGTCGTACTGGACGCAGCGCACCGCTGCCACGTGGCCCATAAGGACGTGTAAACACTGACCCGTCTCGATGTCCCAGACACGAAGCGTGGCGTCACGAGAGCCACTGACCACCCTGCGGATCAACCGCAAACACAGACGTGGCGATTCAGCTTCAGTAGCAAAACTCTGTTTAAATTGCTTCAGAAATATTCAGATTAGATGTTCATGTAGTTCAAGTTCAAAAATAGTAACTTGTTTTATATTGTGATATACATCAATATCAACATATCGTCACCTACCTAAAATATAAAAAACACATTTTTAGGCAAAAAAAAAAAAAAAAAAATCACTTTTGTCAGAAAGTAACTTAGGCCATTATTTTAGGAAGGTGGCAATATGAAAACTTTTATTCTGACAGGATATTATTTTTCCATATCCACCCAGGCTTGATAATGATTTTCTAAGATTCAACATTGTCCATCGGTCATCAGTTAAACAGCGGCAGCATCCTGCAACATTCATGTTCACACTTGAAAGTACAGAATGTGCTCCTTAGTTCAAACGGCCGCCTCGAGCCACGTCTTCACGACAGACGGCAATATGATCGTAGGTTAGGAGGAAGACGGGTTTCAAAGTGTAGAGTCTGGTCGCCGCCCCTCACAGTTTCACCTCGATCAGCCGTGAACTGAACAACGCAGACAAACACCTGCAAACCTTCCGGAGCATCTCGTAAATCGCTTAGATAGAAAATATTACAGCAATAACTACAAAGCTCACACTCTTTATTTAGTCAACGCCTCGCAGTGCTTTAAAAGATGGAAATCACTGACATGTTCTTTCCACCCGGTGAGTAATCAAATACTACACAAAAAAAAAAAAAAAAAAAAAAAAAAAAAACTCGGCTGGCCCCGAGGCAAAAAGAGCACTTCTGAATCTCCAGAGTGCTGCAGCGTGAACAAGTGAGCAGCAGTTCACTTAAGACGCCTCACAGGCTCCGTTTATTCGCTGTGAAAGCGCGAGCTGCCTGTTGCAGAGGCAGGAGAACTGCTACAGGCCTCTGCTCCAGAGCTGTTGTTGCTCTTTCTGCCTGATTGCTCTGCCGGTTGTTCATCACAAGGAACAGGAATAAACGACTACAGGCTCATTTTTTTTTTATTTTTATTTTTTTACAGTTGGCACTAAGCAGGTGTCAACCATGATGAGCTTAGTATGAAGATAAAGACATAATGGCTGCAGGAGTATATTTAGTCTGTGTTTTAATAAATCATACCAAACCAGAAAATCTTATTTATTAAAATATTTGTGAACTAAACATACATTGTTTTGCTCTAGAATGTTACACTGTATGAACTGTAGGGATGCACTGATTATGCTTTTTCACTTCCGATACCGATACAGATATCTGAGGTCCAATATCAATCTGATACAACCCCCTCAAACCCCCCCAAAAAAAACAGTGCTGAATTGACTTAAAACATTTCTTTCCCTTTCTTTTTTTTTTAAACACAGACATAAATGTACTGAAATACTAATTTATTTGATAACTCTGCACCAGTAAAACACACTTGCATACACCAATAGCTTCACAAGTTTGGTCAACACTTAAAGATAACTCTAATTTGTTCAGTCGGTGCTAAATAGATCTGCCCTCATGGATTGGCCACATTGTTACAGAAATCCAACCTAGAATGTGTTTCGATATTGACACCGATACAGATATTAAAATCGGATAGGTGGATTTCTAAAGGACTCAGTTCCTATTAGAAAACGGTAACAGAATGTCTCCTGAAGCACAGCAGTCAGAGGCTGATGGGCAGATCGGCTTCCTACCTTTTCTCGTGTAGGTGCATGCAGCGTACTGTTGAGGTATGCCCGTAGAGGGTGTGGATACATTCTCCCGTCTCTGCATTCCAAACCTTGAGCGTGCGATCGGTGGAGCCGCTGATGATGATGTTGTCTCGCATCTGGGACGACCACACGCCCCCGGTGTGGCCCACCAATGTCCGTAAACACTATGGGGGGTGGGGTGGGGGACACAGAGACAGAGTCATGACTCCTCGCCGCCTTCCGGAGGACTGGCCCCCCGGTCTGCATTTACACACACCAGCATCAGGTTCACAACTGGAAATCTCATTTGGGATTTCATTTGCCGTCGACCTCATGTTGCCTTCGGGGGATGGGAGGGGAAAAAGAAAGAAAAATTCAATTTCTGTGACCCTTTATTGGAAGAAAGGCCTGCTGCACGCCGCTCCTGCTCACGGGCAAAATACCCCGTTCCTCAGCCAGCTGTTAGAATCACTCTGACTTATCTGTTTGAAAGGCAGACAATTCATTGTTGTTGAGAAAGGGGCTGACAACCGTCCTCAATAAAACACGTCCATTCATCCTCATTAGGGATGCCTGATTAGCTATTGATTACAGCAGTTATGGAAATCTTTCTGATCAATTGAATTTGCGTCTCTGCAGTTTGTCCCACGTTTGGGTCGATTTAATTATCCTAAATGCATTAAAGTGAAACTCTGGCAGTGAGGTTTGGGTGGGTGGGGGACAGCAGCTGTGGTTCTCTGAGCGTCAGGCTGAAGCTTGTCGCTCTGCTGTAGAACATGTGACCTCTGACTGCGCCTGATAAGCTCCAGCTGAAGGGAACATCGGTGCAGATAGAGGAGTGAAAATGAAGCGGCAGACTTTCCTTCTCCTGTGAGGGACAGAGGACCTTCACTGACCGCTGTACGCGACCGTAACGTCCAGTTACAATATCTTATCTTGCTTCACTGCACGCACTTTCTACACTTCAAGCAAGCTGCATCCAAACAAACACCTCTCCAACCTTCTTTTTGTTTTGCTTCTTTTATCATAAGTTGCTCACATCAAGCTGAGGTTCTTTGAACCTTTGGCAATGTTATGCTGTTTCCATCTAGATAGAATCATTTTATAGCACTATCAAGTAACTATGTTATTACCCTCAGTTGTTACAAAAATGTTGTATCAAATATGAATTAAAAGAAATTTGACTTTGTAATTTAATGCCTTGAAATTGGGTGTCTGTCTCTTTAAGAAACTCCTGCTCTTTCTGAAACTCCGCCTTCAGGAAGTCATCACAACATCTCTCGCCTGTTAACCCATTAAAAACATTTTTATCCAGAGTTGCACTGAGAAGTAGCTCATATAATGAGCTCAGTAGATGTGAAGTTCAACGAGGAACTGCTAATTGCTGCTGGCTAGTCTGAAGGAGCTGAATGGGAAGGTGGAGCTTTGTCATTGAAGGTTGGGCTAGGTCCATCCAGGCATTCTGGACATCTGAATAGTAGCATTCAGCAAGTCAATTTTACATAATACTGCCCTTTTAAGGAGTTGCTTCGTTTCATTTTTAAGTCACTCTATTAACAAATAACCTATTCAGACAAAGGAAGTCCTAAACTGGAGACATGAACCCGTCTACTGAAGTCCATACATGATAGACAACTCTCTAAAGAGACATTTTTAATCTGGCTCTTTGTTCCCGTCAGTTGGTATCAACTTTGCTCCCCATTTCATTTGTTGAGTCAATACAAAAATGGCCAAAGATACCAGACGTGAGAATGCTGGAATCTAACACACAACCTTCCAACTTAAAGCCAACTATAGCATAACTAAAGCCGTTTTAAAACTGCAGGGTATGAGGAGCGTGTCTGTAGAGCAGTAGACTGCAGACCAGGCCACCTGAACAGAAACACATTTTTTGACAGTTTGGGGTTTGATACTGAGAGGGCTGCACCTTTATGTAATTTGCGGTGGACACATGCGGATGCAGGATTCACCGGGTGAATTAAAGCTTCAGAGGGAAGCTCAGAACAAGAATCCGTGTGATTAGAGCTCCTCAAACACTGCGTGGGAAGAGACTACGTCTGAGATGAACGTCTCAGCAATCCAACGTTAAACAAGCCTCTCCCTGAGAATGAAGGAAGATTAACGTTTTCACTCAAACTGTGAACGCCCACTTTAAAGACGCAGCTGCTGATGCAGATCTACAGAAGAGGGTCAATTGTGTCTCTGCGTTAAATATCAATAAAGAAATGTACTTTTTATGAACGTTGTGGGGAGTATAATAAGGATAAACGAAGCCAAATATATGTTGAGCGAAGATTAACCCTGTAAGACTGTGCTGTAATATTATGTCTCAGTTTTTAAAAAAACGCTATAAATGTTGATTTTTCTTCTGGTTTTTACTCAAATTTAAAGATGGAACTCTATTATTCAGTCTGTAATGCTACCGGATGGGAAATCGGCAATAAGCAGTAAATCAGTTTAATCGCATGATAAATTAAAACGACCTTAATCATTTCCATTTGCATAATTTATTGTTTTTCTTTTTTTCACCAAAATCTGATTGACTAAAGTCTTAGGTCTGGTGTGTTGGTTTTTTTGAAAGACAATTTTGTTTAATAAAACAAAAATAATTTCATTTGCTCTTTCTGTTGTTTTATTTATTTTGCATATTTAAAATGTCTTATAATTGTATTACCGTGTCATTACCATTATAACATAAGAAAATATTCTCACAGCAACAATATTACCGTTTATCGCAATAACTTCTGGGACAATTCATCACCCAGGAAACGTTGTTATCCTGACAGGCCTAACTCTAAATAATGCTTAGAACATATTTTTTGTGCAACCCTTGTACAAAAACTAAATAATTTCATTATATAAGATTACATTTTCAAGAGACATTACAAAAGAAAAGTCTGAAAACACATTTTTGTCTCAAAAATACTTGTAACCAGCTATCAACATGGTTGAACTGTTTTCTTTCCCCGTATGTTTTCTATGTTCAGATGTTCCTGGGTTTTATAACAGCCAGAGGTGAGGAACAAGATTCTACCTATTTACAACCAAACGCCACATCATTCAAAGATTATTGAGGATTAATGTTTCATCTTCATACCAGACAGCCTGAAACAAGAACGACAGGAGAAAGAGGTTAGAAATGTTACGCGTCAGTCTCAGGGGGTGGAAAAGCCTCAAAGCCAAAGTTACAAACACATAAAAGAAACACGCTCTAACACGTGGAAGCTGAATAAATGTTTATTCTGCTCTGCCTCCAGGACACTGAAAGATCCAGAAACGCCAACGAACTGCTAAAGCTGTCTAGGAGACATGTTTCACCTTCACGTCTTATCGTCACATCAAATAAAAGAGTTTATATGTGTCAGTGGGGACGACTAGAGTTAATTATTCCTCCTTATATATTGGGTACAGTCATGAAATGTATAAAATGCTTTGAAAAAAATCCTTATCCAAACAAAGATTAAATGTTTCTTTAAAAACAATCAATAGCAATCAATACTGACATCTGGCTTCCTGTATGCCATTATTTCCAACCATTCTTGCATTAGTTTGGTGTGGAGTGCTTTAGACAGTAATTTAATATTGTGCAATAAAAACATGAGTACGTCCTCTTTCGATATAGAGCAGTAGTCATCACACCTGACTGAGCCTGAGGCTGTGATTGTTCAGTACAGGAAACAGAAAGCTAATGCTAACATAACACCCCTCCCGTTGGATGAGATGCCAGCAGCCTACTGTGTTTTTCAGCTAAAAATGTTTAAAGTTAACAAAAAATGTGAAAATGTAACGTGGTATTTACGTGTTATGAGAAGACATTAGCAACAATACCTAAACAACAAATATAACAAATGTTTCATCCTTTATCCATGACTTGTCACTTTCTTTGCCGGAGTTGTTAGCTTGCAGACCATTAAAGACAGGAAGTGACTACAAAGTTCCAGTGAATTAAAAAAAATAAATAAATACATGTGACCTCAATCTTCCTCTGTGTTCACATACTGACCGTACTATGTTGCCATTGTGCTTCTAACAGTTCTACTTAAGAGACTTTATCCCATCTCTGCTTACTGGTGAATAAAAGAACCTTTAATAAACAGACAAACAACATTTAGCCTGTTGTGGGAGCAAGTGAAGCCCAGTGGGAAACTCTGCTTAGTATGCATTATATTTTCATTGAAGTCAATAACCTGCTCCAAACATTTAAATAAAACAATAATGACTCTGTATAAATTCCCCAGTCTTAAATTATCAGTGATAGCCTCAGAAGAAGCAAGCTGCAACATTTGTCTTGTTGATGGAAAGAACAGGGTAAAGCGCGGACCACTGCAGCTCCCCAGCGGACACGCCCCCTCTTCCCTGGATGCAACATCAGTCCACTGGTCTGCCATCTTAAATCTCCGTGACAGCCGAGCCTGCTGCTGACAGGCACCCCAAGGACAAGCTGTGCTCTGTTAAACACAAGGCAGCCACCTTTGAAGCGCTGAGATGTGTGTGCACCTGTTAGTGTGTGTGGATGGAAGACTGACAGCTCCAGCCCGAGCCCGAGACACGCCGAGACAAAAGGTTCCTCCACTAAAGACAGCATCTTTAAACACCTCCATGGGAACAAGTTAGCAGCAAAACTACTTTCATGAAGACAAATACAAGGCAGTTTTGTTTACCTTGTCTTTTTCCTTTATACTCACAAATATTGAGATAATAAGAGTTAATTTTCTGATTGTCTCTCAGCGTGGGTTCGATTTAGCGTTTCATCCAAAAATATAATCCAAGGAGAGAACAAATGGAGCAAAACAAAACATAAAAATGAGCAGGAATTAGCTGCTCTAATTTGTTGAAAATATGAACATTTAGATCACGTCTCTAACTCGCTCATATTTGATAGGGGCAGGATTTCACATAGATGAGTTTAATAACTATAATATAATATTTAGAGACCTGCTGGGTTGATGGCAGATCAACAGCTCTTGGTTTCCTTCATCACAGGCCAACTCTTCCCCTATCCTGTTTTAATTCAATTGTATTCAAAAAATTAAAAGTTGTTGTAGCTCATTTCAAGAGTTATTGTAGATGGTGATGGAAGAAATGCTAGAGAACAACTTTACTGTTGCTCCTCTGACGTCATATATCAGAAGGACTTTTGTTCGAACCAAATTTATGCTTTAGAAAAATGTGGAGACCAAAAATCAGGCTGGCTGCATTGGTTAAACATGTAAAAATAAACTGCAACAAACCTTTTTTCAAATGATTTAGAAAGTGCAATTAGGAATTCTAAGTATGATGTAAAATAAAGAACACTCAGAGCACAAAGCATAGAATTAGACTAAATAGATTTGCCTTTATGGATTGGGCTTGTTGTCACTGATACCCGATCAAGAATTTTTGTCAATATCAGGACCGATACAGAAACTAATATCAGTGAATTTCTCTTAAACACGCCTGATTGCTCCACAGGTAACACTTGAAGGTGAAACCATATAACGGGTAAAGACTAATAAAGGCTGGCAACAGAGAAGAAGGAGGAATGATGAGAGCTTGGACTCTTATAGGATTTTTACTTTGGTTTTATGAGCATCGACAGACGGTTCACTGAAAGGGTTGACTCAGCCTCACTGACTGTTCTTTTAGAAGCATTGGGGTGGGAGGATGGGAGTGTGAGGGGGCAGTGTGGTCTGACTGCAGCACCCAAACAAACAGATTCCAGCTCGTTTTTCTGCTACAAGCAAACAATGGTGAGGCAGTTCAAACGCTGCAGGCGACGAGCCGGCCAGTCTGAATGAAGGTGGTTCATCCTGCTGCTGCGATTCACTGCACACTCCTTCCCCCAACATGCAGCCGCTGAGCTCGTAACTCAGCAACCTGCCAACTAGACGTTTGGGTTTTAGTGAAGCAGAGCCAAAGCCAGCTCCCTACCCGTCGGATCACCTTGGCGAGATCGACTCAGATCAGCAAATGCTGTGACTGGTGGGTTTATAATTAGCCATGGGCCCAGAGCCAACATTAGCATATGTAAAGGAGAATCTTTACATCCATAAAAAGCATTCCCCTCACCCCCACCATATGCCAAGAATGCCAAAAATCCATAACTGAATGAAAATGCACAGCATAGATACCTATAGGCAAGTTGCATGTTATTATTTACATCTGGAAATGTTGTGCAACGCTGGAGGGAAAAAAGTTAATTCTTTTACTTGCCATCTGTAACCGCGTTGAGGCGGTAGAACAATTCAGTTAACTAAATGAAACATGGAGACGTAGGTATTAATTTGGCGTCACAGCAAAGGGAAAAATAACACAGACAAACCATTGAACAACTAAAAACCACTCGGATTCTTATTTTGTCTTCTTCTCTGTCAACTAAGCTGTAGGTCGCTTTTTTTTTTACTGAACCACAACACTCTCAATTCCACAGCACATCTACATGTTAAAGTTGTCAAAGTCAAGCTAGCACACTTGTCATACTTTCCTCTTCATCTTTTTTTTTTTTATTAAAATTTACACCTGACCTGTGAAATGTCATAATCTTGTATGCAGCAAAGCTCCACACCCTTTTCTCTTTTATACATCACTCATTATATTGACGACTTGACAGCTAGTCATCGTCAGTAAGCAGTGTTTTTGCCCTCCAGCAGAGAGCCGAAGGATGGGATCTAACACGCATGGAGTCGCATTGCAACGCGTCTATAAAGAACAAAGATGGTTCCCGAATATGGATCTAATATTATGAAGAACAAAAACACAAGATATGTTCCATTTGTGTGCTTAGATGATCATTATAGATTATTGGTTAAACAGGAGTCCAACAGGGAGGCATAAACACTGATCTGCAACCTCTCCACACCTCCACCTCCTTTTTAATAAAGCAGCAGCTCAGTGTGACCGCTCCAGCTCCTGCTATGAATACCAACAGTGTGTGCAGGCGGATGCTGTGGAGCAGCGCTGCGAAACGCATCAACGTAAGAAGCCAAAACAGACTGGTGAGGCTCTTCAGGAGAAGATTGGATCTGGATGCAGAGAAAAGTTTTGATCACCAGAGACACTGACAGCCTGCTGCTGTGAGTTCCTCCAGCTGAGACATGTGGTGAACATGCTGCCTTTCAAAACAACACAGGGCAAATCAAATATTTCTGTACATACGGCACTAGGAACAAGCAATCATAAAGTTTTTCATGTTTTTTTGCTGTATTTATTTCTTTTATGCCTGCGTGACTGTGAATCAAATCAACACTGAAAAGCAAACTATTTACTGTGAAAAATTTTGAGAATAAGTTTGATTTATCGTTGTCATTAAAAATTTTAGTTATTGACGGTAAACAAAACAAAACTAAGTATGATGTAAATGTTATTTTTGATATTTTCTCCACCGCTTGTTCCACGAGCAAATCAATAAATATCAGTAAATTTGAGAATCTGTTAATCAGTTACGGTGTGCAGCTTATTGATATAAATCATAATGTTTGGTGGTTTATTGTGTTTTATTCTGTCACCATTAAACAGAAATGCTTTTTTCTAACAGGATTTAATCTGCAACAACAGCAGAGTAAATATTTCTGGAAAGAGGAAAAGTCTCCACTGATCACAGCTGTTATTGAGAATCAGCTTTGATTCTGCATGATGTCACATTCACTGATCATTTCCTCAGAAGAACATCTGGGACTCCAACACCTCACACTTCATCAGCTAAACACACGCTTAGACCTGGGATGATTCAAGCTCATTCCTGACTGTCTTTCTTTTAAATGTGACCTGTAATGCTTCCTCAAACAGGTCATGATAGGTCTAGAGGCTATAAAGAACGTTCATCACGTTTTCTGCACAAAATCATTCCTAGATAATTAAATTTTAGTCTATTTTGAGCTCCTCTCATAATGTTTTAGGGCCTCTGTATCTTTAAATGCAAATAAGTTTTTGCTGGCCACACCTCCCCAACTCAACATTCACACTCGCATATAAAAATGGCTGCAAACAGATGCTCAATTATCTTTGAAAAGCAGAAGTGAAGCCTCCTGAATAACCAACAAGAATGCAGCAAGTGGTTTCTGAATGGTAAGTTTCAGGCAAAAACTGCTGCAAAAATATTTCCATGTATCTTTGCCATAAATTGAAAACCAGCCTGGTGACCACTCTGACTCCAGAAAACCCAGCTCAAGAATAGAAACAGAACTACCTTTCCTGTGATGGCCGACCAGACCTTCAGTGTGTTGTCGTCGGAGCCGCTGACAATGCGGTTGCCGCAGAACTGGAGGCAGGTGATCACATGGTCGTCGTGTCCCTTCAGCACCTTGGGACAGGAGAGACAGGATGAGACAGGATGATGACAAAAGGAGGGCGACAGTGGCGAGAGCCTGCTCCATTCTTATTTCAGTGGAACACTGCAGGCGTGACTTATCACCATTTTCCATCAATTCCAACCCTCAGGCCTCGTTTGAAGCCGTTTTCTTTAACTTAAAGATGTCTGATAACAGATCTTCATCATCATCTAACCACATTGGGAATCAGTAGAGGAAGCTACCTTGGGTGATTTCAGGTCTCCTCTCCTCCAGTTGGTGTCTATCCTGTGCTGCCTGATGTAGGCGCTCTTCCAGGGGCTGTGGGTGAAGCCCGGCTTGGCCACCTTCCTTTTCCGCGGGGGCAGAGGCTCGTCGATACCTGCATGGAGAGAAACACAAGCTCAATGTGCTTCACAGTACAAAATAGCAGCAGTGACTAAGATCTGCACCGCCCTCAGCAGGGTGGTCACTGTGGTCAAACGTCAAGCTCAACACAAATCCTAACAAAAACACTCCGCAACTTTTCTTTGAAGGCAGATATTTCCGTCTAGATAAGAGCAAAGAAGCATGTTTTATTATATTATGACAAATATTTAACTTCCTTAATGAATACATAGTTCCCACATGACGCCACATTTCCTGCATCTGGGTTTCCCGCCACCATTTTGATAGGCGGAAGCAGCTTCCCACTTCAAGAACCGCAATGGTTGGATGTTGTTGGATTCAAGGGTGTAAAAAAAAATGCAATAAAACAGCAGAGAGACGTTTTCATCACATCATCTGAAGCTGAGCAAACTTTGTTACAATAAATTGGGAGTCGACTAGTGGCTGGCTAATATCCAGAGGAAACAAACACAGATCATCTAATACAGCACAGACTCACTCTGATCACTTTATTAGCAGTAAGGATGTTTTCAAATGTTTCTTAAAATAACTTAGTCAATAATGTATAGAACAGGTTGCTGTCAAAATATGTACTTTGTAGACAAACCTGTGGACTAATATGACAAATCTATTTCTATCTACTTCTTCTGGCTGCAACACCTGTGACTGAACAAAGAAAATTACATTCAGAGTCGCTGCTGTACTTCAGCAAACGCAATCTCGGCTTTTGTGACCATATTTATAATCACATTTTTATAGACAGCACCTGCTCATATTAACACTCCTATTGTTTATTATGCGTCACACTTAGCAGGTAGCAGAGAAGGAGGCACATTGTTAATAATCTGATTATTAATGCATCTTTTGATGTTACTGGTGCTCACATTTACAATGTGTAGAGTAGAAAAATATTATTTTGAGACACAGATCAACTATATGAACATTAAATGCAACCACACATGCGGTAATTTTGTATGAATAGAGGAGAATTCAGCCTTCACTTCCAAAAATAAAAAGTTTTAAAGTGTCACTTCCCCGTTTGGTAAAACAGACAAGATAATATTTCATAGAAGTACCATCCCATAATATCTATTACGGGAGGATGAACTTTGATTCAGGTGTGCAGTTGTTTGATCTTACAACAACTGCTTATCTTTAGTGAGACACTGTGTTCTTCCATCTGTCTGTTCATTTGCTGTTGGTCCAAATCAGTGTTACTGAGACAGCAATAAAGGATAAATTCAAAAAAATAATAACCTGCTTGAAATCAAACATGGATATGGAGCATAATAAAACACATTTTTACAGTGTAAACAAGGATCCAGTCTATGACGATGTATTCAGGAGCAGCTCTGTACAATTTCTGCCTGATGGTAATTTTTGCACAGTCATTTCTTTAGTGATCAGCTATAGCGGCCGGGTGGATTGCTACGGGTTACTGGCTCTTTCTGCTCTAATTGTCAGCTCCAGCCTGGCTCCACCATTGTTATTATTAGCTACCCTTACAACTGGAGCTCTGGCTGTTTCACTGCTTCCTGTTTAGTAGCAGATCAGTCTCAGCTGATCGACATTTTCCTGCGTTAACTTACACCATACTGGAACGGAACAGGACCAGAACAGCAGAACGGAACGTTGCGTCACATGAGCGGAACATCAGAACAGAGCGTCACAGAACAGGAAACTGAGTGTAGCAGGACAGGAAACGGGCGGGACATTGCATTGTTTGGAACTTTTCAGCCCGGGAAGCTCATCTAGACAGGTAGCTCAGACAAATCGAGCACCGTCTCTGAGTTCTTTGGGACGCTAATATTTAATCACTAGCTGTTAAGCTTGTGATGTGTGAGAGATCCCCCGACCTTTTTAAGTTGCTCTCTAACATCAGTCTGGTAGAGTTAGCGTGTTGCATTAGCAAGCTAGCATGCAGAACAACGCTTGTGTTCACCTTCTTGGCTAAAGAGATTGACTCATGCCATTTCTGGATGCCCTCAGCTCACTGGGTGATTCTACAGGGAGTGGACGAGCTACGTTTGCAAGTTTACATAAATTTTAATGCATGCTAGTATTTTTGAGTGATTCATTTTCTAGCATCCATTATTCCGACAGTCCCAGTGGGAAGCAGCCAGACTCACCCTCTTCCCTGCATTTCTCTCTCCACAGCAGGTTGTCCTCTGCCAGGATGCGCCAGTAGCGACACGTCTGCGCCGCTTGCAGGAGGTCCTTCGGTTCCAGGAATGAAAGTACGTACAAAGCCAGCTGTTGACGGACCAAGACAATGTTAGAGGGCTGCAAATTCACAACAGAACAGGACAGCAGGCAGAGGGCCAGGCGATACGAGGCGCTCACTTCTTTGGGCAGCAGGGAGATGAAGTCGCGCTGAAACTGCGGCTCGATCACCTGCATCATATGCTTGACCTGTGTGGGCTCACAGCTGTCGATCAGCTCATCCAGCGCTAGCAGCTTCTCCGGGCCGCTCCAGCTCTGCAGACAGCACAAGCAAACGTGGAGACAGGTTTCATTCAGGGGCCAGACACCGGCTGACAACGACACTGGATGCGCTCAGTTTTAGATGACATCATCATTAAAGCATCAATCTGGAAAAGGATGTAGATCACACCTGTCAAACTCAAGGCCCGGGGGCCAAATCTGGTCCGACGTAGTTCTCTATGTGGCACTCTAGACTCCAAATTATATCAATATGTCCCTCCACTGTTTTGCAAATCCACAAAATTCATGCAAAATTCAAATTTTTTTTCCAGATTTTGCTGTAATTTTTTTCTCAAAATTGGCCAAAAACCAGTGTTTAAATGACTGCTGCCTTCATTTTACTTGATGTCAAGCTGTAGTTCATGATGAATACAGTGATAAATAAAAAGTCACATTTCACGTCTTACATTAGCACAAATATTGCAAAAAAAAATAATCTAATATTTCCAAATTAGCACAAGAAAATCTGTGATTTTGATTGCAAGAAAAACCCACAAAAACAATCAAGACATTCTGGATGGACTGAAAAGGTGTTCAATTATTTATTTTTAAGGAACACTTATTGAATTCTCAAACCAACAGATATTTATTGATATTTAAACAGTTCAATGGGTTCTAGCAATAGATTCTGGCACAACTGGCCCTTTAACAACATTCAGATTTTTGATAAGGCCCAAAATTTAAAATGAATTTGACGGCCTAATGTAGATGGAAGATGATGATGAGGTCAAAGTTCATTTTCAGCCAGTAAAGTATGAAGTAGAAGCAAATGGAGCCGACTGACTTCACAGAAGAATTAAAGGCTGACATTTCTATAAACTCACCGTGGTACTGGTGGAATTGGGAAGCCGAATGCAGTTCATCTTCCAGTAAAAAACTCGCAGCTATTTTATTGGATTGTCTATAATATGTAGTTGTTGATATTAAACACTGAGCCAGTTATAGACATTCTGCTGCACAGCGTAACAAGGCTCTATTGAACCAGATAGATGAGCCAAACACACTTTCTCTCTGATCTACTTCTGTAATAACCTCTGGTTTTATTTCGGAACCACATCACTTCTGCAGATATTATTCAGAAAAAAATGAAAAGTGCGAATAGCAGGGCAGCAATACAAGTATTCACACATAGCAGTGCCTTAAAAGCATCGCCTCCACGTCTCTGAGCATGACTGGAGGTGAAAGTGTAAAAAGTGAAGCAAACAGAACACAGTTGTCCATCATCAGCTGCATTTCCATTGACTGTATAATTGCACGATTTGACATTTCAAAAATAAATGGGAACACGCCAATTTGGAAAAAAACTTGTCGATAAAGTTTTGGTGTTTTTTTTAGCCAAATCAAAATCGGTTTATTTTGCAAAACTGTGATGGAAACACTTTTTTCACATCACACGAGTCACGTGAGTCGTGTGATGTGATGTTTCTACTGGCGCAAACCATGAATGAGAAGATGGGAGGAAGTAGTTGGAGGATGATGACACAAAATGTTTTTAAAGCAGCAGTATTGTGTAAAATATAATTTTTTGAGCTTTACATCATATTATAATGTTATTCCCTCATCAAAAACATACATGAAGTGTTGCTTTGATTCTTTCATCTCTATGGCAACCATTCAGCTCTGCAAAACACCTGGGTGGACCTAGCGTTGCATTCAGACTAAGTTCTTCCTCAGAGCTAAAGTTTGCAAGTTTTCACCTCGCCCAGCTCCTTCAGACTAGCGAACAAGATTTAGCAAACACCAGGGAAAACTGCACATCAGCTGAGGTCATTATAGGAGCTACTTCTCAGTGCAACACTGGTATAAACATTGTTAGAGGAGCCATGTTGTGATGATTTCCTGAAGGCGGAGTTTCAGAAGGAGCAGGAGTTTTTAAAGAGACAGAGGCCCAATTTCAAGGTATTAAATTACAAAGTCTATTTTATTTTGAAACATATTTCATTTATGTAGCATGAAGTTAACAGTTACTTGATTGTGCTAATTTCTCGCAATTGCTAAATTGTGTTTTTCCAATGTTGGCAGAATATAGGCTAATTTTTACGCACTTTTGTCATGGAAAGGCAGCAAGTGAGGCGTGGATGTGCTCCAGGTGTCTTGGGTTTTTCCACCAGTGCATCAGTGAAAAAGTTTGACACCATAAAGTTGCTTTGCAGCACCTTCAGCTTCAACATCTCAACCATTTCTTCAGAACAACACTCTGAGGTGTTTGCTGAAGCAGGCAGATGCAGGTCCCCTGCCCTAGAAAAGCTGGGCTCTGACGCTGATTACAGGCGGGGTGGAAAATCTGGCTCTACACCTGTAATTTGGCAACTGAAAGGTTTAGCCGGAGGTGCTGGTTCTCAGGGTAATGAGGGGCTGCAGAGAGCTGCCCACAAACAGCGCTGAGCAACAGATAGTTAACTCTTACATCAACTCCAGCCACTGATCTTCAGCTTCAAACACGAGCTTCTCCTCCTCAGGTCCGTCCTCTCAACCCGAGATTAAAATGATTTTCTCTTCTAAAATTTCTACCTTGTTATAAACTGTCTTTCACAACTGCAGCAAAAATTTGGTGGACTGAAACATGATCAGAGGAACACTAGAATACACTTTTTACCCCCTGCATTTATTAGAGTATTTGTGGGGAACAAAATAGGGAACGGATATATATTTTTGTGATTCTTTGCTAGCTTACAGCCTACGGTATAAAACACGTTGTTTCTTAAATTCACCACAAACCAGTAATAACAGGAAAACACGTCCAGCCTCTACACATGGAACTTCATCTCCCTGTTGCCGTCAGAACAGAAATATTTTTGATGAAATAATGTTTAGAACAAACACAGAGGGGTCACAGGTTCACACAGCTATTAGAAGATAATAAGTCAGAACTCTCTGTGGAAATGAAATCTATGACAAGTCATTACAGCTACAAAATCACCGGGATTATCAGGGCTAATAAGTTTATATTACATCTTATTTCCTTGAGGTCGGAGGTCATTACAGCTCCAGACTAACAAGACAGAAGTAAATTTTTCAATAAAAGGTTTTGGTGCTCGGATGATGTGGTTTTTCGGTTGTATCAACAGGAAGTGGTAGCAGGACGATGGCATGGCATGTTTTTAAAGCCTTATGGGAACAAACTTATGCATGTGTGATTGTAATTGCGTTTAAGCAAAACACTGTAATTGCGAGATTAAAAAAAATTAGGTATTTTATCTACATTTGGTGCACATTTGTGAAATTGAGCTATTAGCTGTTCTACTCCTAACTGCACTGACTGAACAAATTAAAGTTGTTTTTACATGTTTTACCAAGCTTGAAAGCTATAGGTGTATTTAAGTGTGCTGTACTGATGCAAAGTTACCAAATAAATTTTAAATTCAGTGCATTTATGTCTATTTTTTTTTTTTACAAAAAAGAAATGTTTTAAGTCAACTCTGTTTGTCTGTATTGGATCGGTGCCGGCCGATACTAAACCTCAGATATCTGTATCGATATCAGAAGTGAAAAAAATGGATCGATACATCACTATCAGAAACAGAGATAGGTTATCAGATTCAGGTGAAGCTTTAATAAAGAGCTAGCTCTCAACTAACTCATCTTTTCATTGCTGTTCTGTCCAGCAGCTTTGGCTCATCCCAATCCCTCACCACGATGCTCCTGATAATGTGCTGGGCCGACACAACAAGGCAACCAATTATGTGGGAGACTAAAAGCACAGTGATTGGACGAACACCTGCTCTCTGATGGCCCGTCAGAGGTGGCTCACCTGAAATGTTCGGAGCCATTCCTGGAGCCCCGTAGGAGGCTGGATTGAGGTGATTCGTCGTCTCTGCTGGCCCTGGCCGTTGGCCGCTCTGATGTGGCCGAAGGTGGTGGGTGTGGCTGGACACGGGACAATTCCTGTTGGGCTGCAATTTACACACAACAAAGCACCTTTGAAGTCAGCATCGGCCCTCTTATTGCTCCTCTACAGGAAAGGAGCGCATGAACAGGCAGCAGAGGAAGCTCTGCTTTCAGCATCAACAATAAGGAACATATCATGTTTTAAACGTTTAAATACAAATTAAATCTGGACATACACAAAGGTTTCTGCTGAGCTACATTTATTTTCAGTCAGAGATTTCATTTGATCAACTGTGCAAGAGCACATTTCTGTGGCAGGAGGTTTCTACAACCACTGATCCGGGTCCGGACAGCAGGAGAACCTCTCCATGCTTCAGGTTCAGTCAGCTGGCGGGAAAAACTGGAAGCCAGGGGGTCGGTTTCATTATCGATTCATTTTTAATGGCACGGGGAGCCGGTTACAGCGCACCGTTTACGCAGAAGAGGTTGTGTTGGGTTTGAATTTTAAAGCAGCTACATGTGATCTCATGCATTAAAGATCGAGTGCCAGAGGAACAAACGGCAGGCAGGACACTGCGGACGTAACCGGCCTCCCGCTGGAGGACGAACGCAGCTCCCAGAGTTCAGAACACTTGACATTTTCATTGGCACCGTTACACTATGAGGCAGATGGCAAACAAAGGAACGGCCAGGGCCTGGCGACCTCAGGAAAACGGCGGCGAGCAGGATCTCTGAGCATACCTCGGATACTCCGGGCCTTTGCAGGGCTTTTTTCCTGAAGGGAAAGATCGGACCTCTGGGCCATGGTCCAACTTTCTCTTCATCTGAGGAGAAAAGGAGAGAAATAAAGGGAGAACGTTAGAAAACATGACACCACTCAAGTTTATGTTCAGAAAGGAAAAAGATAAATAAATCACACTTCTTTTAAAGAATCAATCAATCAATCAATCAATCAATCAAATTGTATTTGTATAGCACATTTCAGCAGCAGGGCATTTCAAAGTGCTTTACATAATTAAAATAAAAGCAGCATGTGACATTGAATAAACAATGAGAAAGAGAGAGATTTTAAGAAAAAGAAACAGTGAGAAAGAGAAATAAAAAGAAATTAAAGTAAAGATAAAGAGATAAAAAAAAAGAAGGCAGTGTTTACAAGGAATTTACCAACAAACCTTTCCACAAAATGTGAAAACTAAAAACGCTTTTCATTTTGTACCTAATGATGAAGTGACAGACCAACGCAAAGCCTAAATGTGAATTATAATGTGACAATAAACACAATCACCATCATAAATAGTAGCAGCCTCGTTCTGTGGGGTTGATCTGAGACGGGGGTTGCTTTTCAGAGGGATCACAACCACGATAACGCTGCACAGAGCAGCGTTATCGTGGATCCTTCCAACTAGCAGCTGTTAGGCTCTAGAAACTCAGTAAGTGTTCACAGCCCTGCTAGTGTTTGCATGTCTCTGGTGTTTGCAGTTTTTATTTTCGACATATTGTAAATAGCCTATTGTTTTTAAATGCATAAATGTGACGCGCCACAGAGAAAGTGGAAGAAGTCATCAGAGGACGAACAGAGAAGACAAAAATTTCAAGACAAACCATTTTCTGACAAAATAATTATTTTTTTTTTCTTTTTCTACCAAATAAACTAGTCAAAGTTATGAAGAATCCCTCCCATGACACTTTAAACAGCAGTTTGGGAGGTTTTGAAAAGACAAACTTTGTGTTTGAATGCAGTTCGTTTACAGAGTAAATCTGAGCCGTTTCGGGGTGAGGAAGAAACCCACAGCTGATCAACAAACCGGGTTTTATTGGCCATTCACATGCTTCTATTACTAAATTCACAAACTGAGTTGTGGTTATACAATGCGTCGTTATGGCAACTTCTACAACAAGGCAGTCGTTGGTCTCACCTCAGCTTCTGGATCAGAACGGGATGAAACGAAAGAATGCAGCAAAAGCGACTGCATTACATCGCTGCAGTTAGCTGAAGAGGAGGAATGTTTTGGACGGGAGGTGGAGGAGCTGAAATGAAAACTTTGTTTTTTTTGTTTATTTATTTCCATGAGTTTGACATTGTTGGACAAAGCTTGGAGGCCACACTTTCAAAATCTGTAAAGATCTTGAGACGCCCCAGGGAGATTTATTCTGCCGTGCACAAATATTCATGTACATTATGTAGCTTTTTTAAAAATTATTATTCTACTGAGTTGTGCATTCTTAATAAGTGAACAGAATTGTATGCTGCCATCTTGTTCTTAATTTTATTTGTATATTTGTTATTTGTATTTGTACACTTTTATTTTGTGTGTGAACCTACATGCCTCAGTGTTCTGTCGAAGGACTGCTTTTGCAAGTTAGAAACGTTGTCAGCATTAGCTGTTAAACTGAAGACATTCAAACATTAACACCACTGCATAGACACGTGTGTGTGCATTAAATTCACCTACTGGCTACAGAATAAATTCAACATTTTGCTGCACCAAACAGAAACCAGATCTATGGGTAGACCTAACGAGAGTCATCACTGTAAGAAAGCGCACCGTGGTTGGATGTTTCACTGTGTTTGAGTTCCCATCCTGAACATGATAACCACAAGAAAAGGGAACGGTGATCCCTAAGCAACCAGACGAACAATAATTTAAAGAGGCAAACACATTCACGCCCAGATTCCAAGGGTACAGAATGTTCGTTAAATAACCACAGAATACGGCAACTCTCAGGAGGAGGGCACACGCCACATTCTTTGGCTGTGATTCACATCGATGGCTCACAACAAACACCAGAGAGTGGCTTCTTTATCATTCTTCATCACCTGCGTATGAGCGCTGCCTCAGGTCCCCGTTACAACCCACCCGACTGGGCAAACAAAAGCGGCTGTGTGCGGGGCCTGGGCCAGCCAAGTTTCCTTCATCCCAGGCCTGCCACTCCCCCTGGCCAGACTAACCAACACACATGCGAGTGATCTCCCTCCCTTCATCAGCAAGAGGAATTGGTGATCATGTTCCTCTAGTGTCCTGCCACAACGAGACGCAACACGCAACCGTCTGGCTTTACCATAATCATTTTCAATTGGTTTAGCGGAGAAACATGAACCATTTTAAGAACAACTTCATCTTTGAAGCTCAAATATAAATTCATCTCTGCTTAAGAACCACCATCCTTTATATTAGGGCTGTAGTGAGACAATAATCTCACGATACAATACAATACACGATATTCTGCTCATGATACAATATATATTACAATATTCAGCAAACGATACAATTCAATACTGAAAGATTTTAGAGAAACAGAGTGATTTTGGTGACATTTTGTGACTGTTATAGAGTTGGATTTAATTAATTTAACTGAAAACTGATTAAAAGCACCAACCACACAATACCTGGCTCTGGTTGGACATGGACACAGACTTAAATTCAACAGCTGGACAAAATGAATCAAAGAAGTGGTGAGAAAACATGTTTCTTTTAATTGAAACAGTACAAACTGTAGCTTACATGCATTTGTAAAGTAAATAAAGTGCACCAAGTACCTGCTCTGAATAGTTTGATACCTTTTAAACCTTGACACTTAACATCTGAAGGAATCACTCTAAGCCTGATGACCTAATCCCGGCGAAGCAAGCAGTGAGTGAGCAAGGTGACAGTTGGATGGTACGATACTTGCGGAAGAATATCGATTTTTTTCTAGGAAAGAAAATATCGATATATATCGCAAAATCGATATTACACAGCCCTACTTTATATGCCACTTTTATTTTATTGTCACTTTAAAACTACAGCATCTGAACATAAATGAAGGAACTGTGTACTTTTAGTTATTTAGTTACTGTGCTTATTTGTTACCGAACAAATAAGCACAGCTGAACAAGTTTAGAAGTATAAAATAACTTAATTTCCAATGTCCTTGATGAACACAAAATGTTACCAAATGATTGATGACATTTTTTTTTTGAGCAGCTTCTCTTCGTCCTTGACCAAAGCGGATAAGGCCTGGAGAACTCCCATGTCAAAGTGCTAATTTCGTGCTGCGAGTCTGGTGAATTTAAGCCCCTGTGCAATTACTTTTCAAAATAAAAACTCACGTCGCATATCGTCACAATCTCTCCTTTTCTCCAGGATTTTAATTGTTTGCTACAGAAACCATTAAACTGACTTCCTGTTTGCAAACGTCACTCTTTACAAACTTTGTTTAAAGACTGGAAGTGATGGAGCCATGTGACCACAGACAGCACAGGTAGTGCTGCGTCGTCAAGGGACATTAGCATAGCTGACGTTTACAAAGCCAAAAAAAAGAAAGAAAAGAAAAAAAAAACTGTTCTTTTCATTTTTATTTAAAATACCAAAAATACCGACTTGGGCAAGGTGACTTTGGTTATTTTCAACAATTCATCTGTTAATTTTCAAAATTAACCAACAATTCGTGAGTTAATTTTTGGTTTTTCTTCCAGGCCAACTTAGTACATTGTTAGTACACTGGTGGCAAAGCTAGCCATTGTCCACTGTGTCACTTTCAGTTGTTTTGCCACATCCTGTGCAGGAAAACAATCATCTGTGCCAAGTCAGAGCATAATTAGATGATGGCTTATAGAAACCAGAAACCAAAAGCAACCCATGTTTCCCTTTAGAGGCAGACAATGCCGTTTGGATGCAGGTTTATTATTGTGCTATTGTATTCTACTCAGAGAACAGCGCTGGACATTTGACTCCATGCTGTCTGGCTCTACAGTGGCATGATTACACGTCTACCTCCAGATATGTGCTTTTTTTGTTTATCACTATAATTTAGGGAGAAAAAGATTGAGCGTCTGTTTGTGGTTTCAGCTTCCTGGGCTTACAGAAATGTTATGAACACCAAATCTAAATGTAAGATGGTTTTTACCCCCTCTAGAAACTCAAACATGATATATTCAAAGGTATGAATGTTTAAAGAAGCATCCCAAAACAAACATGTATACTAATACATATATATATATATATATATATATATATATATATATATATATATATATATATATATATACACTGCTCAAAAAAACAAAGGGAACACTCAAATAACACATCCTAGATCTGAATGAATGAAATATTCTCATTGAATACTTTGTTCTGTACAAAGTTGAATGTGCTGACAACAAAATCACACAAAAATCATCAATGGAAATCAAATTTATTAACCAATGGATGCCTCGATTTGGAGCCACACACAAAATTAAAGTGAAATGTTCCCTTTATTTTTTTGAGCAGTATATATATATATATATATATATATATATATATATATATATATATATATATATATATATATATATAGGCATCTAGAGTAACATTTTCCACTGGTGCACCCTAATTTCATCACAGCTTTACAGGCTAACTTTTAAATCACTGCTCATAAACGCGATTTTCACTTGAAAATGATCAATTCATCTTCTAAACAAAGTGTTTTTGGAATCCAGTTTTGACAAGCTTAGACCACAACAAATGACAAGAACCCAAACCTGTGTGTAAATGATTACACACAATGTCCTGTGCGTTAAAAGTTTCCTGATCCACTTAATTATTTCAGTCTTTTCTTATTTCTCCTCAAACTTCATCTCATGCATGCAAAAGTGGGGAGTATTACTAGAAAAATTTCCAGTTAATCCATGAAGGGAAATTTACAGAAACATCTCTGGGAGTTTCTAAGCCGGGTCAGGTGTGTAACCTATGTCAGACTTAATTTAAGATGGTGTAATTAGGGTGAGTTATTAGATATCTAGAGTAGCAAATAAGACCCAAAAGCCTTGTTCTTAGAGTGGTGATCTCACTGCATCGGCAGTTTAGTAGCCAAGGAGAGCCTGGGTGTGTGTATGCATGCGGAGGGTGTGTGTTTGTGTGTGGTATTGTTTTGTGTGTGTGTTTCAAAGTGAGACAGGAGAGAAGACGGAAAAAAAAAAAAAAGAGGGCATACTGGTTGGGTTGAGAATATGCGCCTCTGTGAGAAAACCTGAAACTGGACATCAGCACGTGAAAGAAAAAAAGAGTTGTGCTAAAGAGACGGAGAGAACGCAGTGTTTGGAAATCACCGCGACCGAGTCGCTCCTCTTCCCTCCCCCTTTCGTCACCGCTGGGTTCCCTCTCTTCTGCCCGATCCAATAAAGAACCACGGGATGGATACAAAGAGGGTTAACGGCGTTCTCAGAGAAGCAATCACTCTCAGGAATCGTGGGCATTTTCATTAAGGCAGCATGTAGAACAGTTCTGTTCAAAAATAGTTTAAAAAAATAGAGCTGCAACAGCACCCACTCAAATCTAAACTATGATTTTCAAAAACCACAATGGAAATCAAACAGAAGAGAATAAATATTCAAACTAACATCACTGTTAGACACTCCATGTTCAGGGCTTTCCTGAAGGAAAGCAAAGTCTGGCAAAGTTAAGCTTTGAGGTTCTTAGCACACAAAAAAAACTGCTCAAGCAGAAGTACTTTTCAACCCAACATGGGGGAAAAAAGTGGTTCGTTGATAATCACTCATGAAAGTATATGGAAAAGTGGATGGAAAACACAGGAAAAGTGATTGACGTTCCTGTCTTGACACATTTAATAGGAGAACTGATCTAACCTGCTGATCAGATCTGATCTAAGGATTTGCAGTGCACAAAAAAAATCTGGCCGCGATTTCCTTCATGTTGGGAGATCGGTGATCAGCCAAAGCTTCCACATGAAGTCGATATTATCCACTGATCTCATTTACCTCAGCAAAGGTCTAAAAATCAACCACTGTTCTCGTTTGTTCTGCTGCGAGAGGTTTGACTGACACACCCACCGGGTCAAGTCTGCGAGTTCTGACAGTTAGTCACCAACTCTATAGCCAGCTCAGCGACTTTTCAGACAACCCACCCCAAAAAAAAATATCGGTCAAAATAGGTATCAGTGATCAGCCAGAAAACTGCAATCGGTTCACTGCTACTAAGGATCACCATCTCCAGGTGGTTGATTAGAGCTCAGTGAGCAAATATTTTCCGCTATAAAAATCACTTCCTACTATGAGATTTTCGTCTCATAATGATTATTTGGACAAAATGAAAAGTCTCTAAAGAATAGAGCTAGAAATTTAATAGAAATGATCTACTTTATTTAGATCACAGCACGGTTAATTTAATACTTAGCAGCTTGGACGGTGTGTCACCATTTAAATTAGCTCCAGTAACACAGGAAGCATCTTTGAGGAGGTTGTAGTTCAACCCGGTCTGACACAGTGACCCATTATCTGTGCTGTGGAGCCTGAGGCGAGGAGCACCATGTCAGGGAAGAGGCAGAGGCGCGCCGATCACATGCACACATCTCCAGCAGTCACTTCGCTCAGAGGAAGATAAGCAGTGCTGCATAACATCTAATTATGATAACCCTGCAAGCTGGCCTGCAGGCGGACAGGCTGTTTGTCAGCTCCCTGTTTCCAACTTATTATTAAAAAGTCTAATTTTACAAAAGCAGAGCTAGCGGTTCTGTCTGCTGTGTGTCGGTTGGATGTGGCTTGGAAATGTGTCCAGGTGGTTTAAGAAAGGCAGAACAGCAGCTCATGTGCAGAGCTGCTCTCGTGTGTGTGAAAAAAATCTAGATATTTCTCCAGAAATATTGGTGAATAATAATATAATTTAAAAAAAATCCAACCATTATTAGCATTTCTAACATCCTTCTCCAAACCATATGGGAGCAGAGGTTTTAATTCACTACAGCTGAAGTTAAGAGAGACGAAGAAGAGGACAAATCACAGCGATGCAGTGAAGCAGTGACCGGTGCCCGCCGTGCCCCGTGATAACATGAAGGCCCCAGCAGTTAGAGAGCCGCCCCTGGGGAGGAGAGAGGGAGGTGGGGGTCCGTCACACCGCGACTCTTCCTCTGCAGCGGCCGGAGCCGACCATACTCACTTTGTAGAAAATCATCTTTAAAGTGCCGTAGAACCCCATCCTTAGAGCCGGGGTGTGTTTCCTTCCTTTCCTCCTCAGTGACGGTCGGTGAAGTCCAAACGCGCGTGCTGGCGGGGGAGCGAGGGCAGCGACGGACTGTCAGGTAAATCCGCCTCTGGTAAGAACATGCTCGGGCACGTCACCGGACTGGCTCGGCTGCCGCAGATTCCCACGGTGAGGACATCCAGAGGAGAAGGGAAGGAGGAAAGGGGGTTGAAAAGGAGAAAAGGTCCGCCGTGTTGCTTCGATTTAACCGGGAGAGAAGGGGGGTTGGGGGGAAAGCGGTGGGCGAACAATACGATGATCCCGGAGGCTCGCGAGCTGCGACCGAGCAGCCTCTGCGTTCAGGGGAGGGAACAGATGAGAGAGACACACAGAGAGAGGGAGAGAGAGAGAGCGAGAGAGAGAGCGAGAGAGAGACACGGTAGGAAAACCGGGGGGAGGAGAGGACGGAGCGTCAGAGTGCAAAGCAGTGACTCTTCCTCTTCTTCCTCCCTACAGGATGGGATTACAGCCTCCCCGGTGGAGGCGGCAGGAATGGTGCAGTCCTACGTCTCCTCAGCAGCACCGTGTGCGGCGCATCCTCTGCTGATAGGGGGGGTTATGCAGAGCAGAGGAGAGCAGGGGGAGGCTGCAGGGTGGGGTACGGTCTGCTCGCGAGGGCTTCACTTGCTGCGAACCGCAGCGAACACACACCCCCAGCGGCCTCATGGCTCTGCTTCAACCGGTCCGCATCACACCGATGGATCCACATATGAAGATCACGTCTCAAAACATCATCCTCTCAGCCACACCGACAATGCACAACATTATGACCACTGGCAGAGGAAGTGATTAAAGGGGTAGCATTTTGTGTTTTCCAGGCACATTATGCTATAAAATAACTGTAACTGGTAACTGTGTTACCTTAAATTGTTATAAAGATGCTATAAATATCAAATATGACTTGAAAGAAATTTTACTTAGTAATTTTATTCCTTGAAATTGGGCCTCTGTCTCTTTAAAACTCCTCTTTCTGAAGCTCCGCCTTCAGGAAGTCATTACAACACGGCTCCTCTGTTAATATCTTTAACAACGTTTTTACCAGCATTTCACTGAGAAGCAGCTCATATATGAGCTCAACAGTTCCACCAAGTGTTTGCTAATTGCTGCTGGCTAGTCTGAAGGAGCTGAGTGGGGAGCAAGCAGGAAAGTTTGGAAAATGCAGTTAATAGTGTCTCGAAGCTGGAACTCTGTTCCCCTAAGCGTCTTGCACAGCTGAATAGTTGCCACAGGAAATTAAAGGATTCATGAACCAAGAATCAAACCAACACACCATGCATGTTTTTGATGATGGAATAACATTACAACATGATGTAAAGCTCAAAAAAAGTAGACTTTACATAATGATTATGGCGCATGTTTGCGACATCAGCAAATGAATATTTGTGCAGAAATTCTTGGATCAGAAACGGAGAAATGGGGGAAGTTCCAAGAACGTGAGCAAGTTTAACAAGGACCAAACTGCCCTCAGCTGGGTCAGAGCTCCCGGGGAATGTTCCCAGTCTGCTGAGATCACCAACTATCAAAATTAGTCCAAGGATGGAAGATGGCTGAACATATGACAATGAACACTGAGCTTCACAACTGGATCAAGGATCGGTGGATGAAGGGGATCTGGTTTGATGGATCATGTTTTCTCTACAGTCAGCCAATGGCTCCATGGGTCAAATCTGATTGATGTAGTCTGTACTGCCTTCTGTCAGAAGAGCAGTGAGTGAAATTCCAAATGATGATCCATGACTGACTGAAAGACCGTGCACCGCCTGTAGCCCAACGTCAACTACAGCAGCCGAAGGGAAAAATATCGCAACCTGGAGTTGGCAGCTTATATTTATGGCGATGAAAGCTGTCACAAACTTGGACATTTTCTCCCATCAAGCCAACCACCAGTGAGGGGTTTGCTTTGACCTTTATGTAGGAGCATATAAACAGGGAGGAATAAATAAACAAAGTCCACGAAAACATTTACTGTCTATTTCAAGGTTTATTCGCACCAGTAAAGCCCTTTGGTTTGGACCAGCAGCAGACTTTTTTTCTTTCATGCCTGATGGTGAGGTTTAAAAAGATGCAGCCTTCCGAAGCCAAACAGTCATGTGACTTTTTCATGTTCATATTTGATCACACCTTTCATACAACGGTGCAGACCACCTGAGGGACACCCCTCCTACTTCGCTATATGTCACTCCACTACTTGTGGGGGTTCCCCCCTCCCTGCTACCTCTGTTTTAACAAAATGGTCATGGAGAGAGCAGCACATTTTTCTGCAGACATCCTCCTCGGTGAACGACATTACAATTTCCATCCAGAAGTTAACCTAATCATTCACCAGGTGTATTTTAATAGGAGTTATTTAGTGAAGAATCACACAAATATAATCTAACAATTTCTCACCGCGTCAGATAAATGTTCTTCAAAAGTCTCTATGGCTCCTACAGATACTAAAAACCGGATCAGGAAGCGGACTAGTTGAAGTGAAATGTCAGACAGCATTTCAGTATAAAGCACAGCAACAAACTTCTAACTAATCACACCACATTTTGCACAGAGCTCTGTCGAAATAGTTTGACCAGGGCCTGGTGTTGAGTGCAACAAGCGAATGCATGCCTGCAAACAAAATGACACAACTTTCATCAAGCACCTACATCAATGAGAACTGATTTCAGGACTTCATATGAAGTATGTTGGGGTCTTTAAAGGCTTCGATAGGCCGGTCTACCTACCTGCTTAAACTGAATCACATTCAATGTTTCCTTCTTTTGACATTATAAGGCATTGGAATTCATAAAGAATTAGCATGGGAAGGACTTTATCCAGAGGTGATGGAACACAGTTCTCAAGCATCGCTTGCTGACACCAGTAGCTGCTGAGTGACCTGGAGTTGGTGGTTAGAGGTTCACATCTAGCAGCAGTCTAAAATTTGAAATGGGTCACTATTCAACAGACTTTTATTTTGTTAGTGAAGTCCCACCCTTCTTCCATTATGCTTGTGAAATGCTAATTTTCTAGTAGAAGGTGAAGGAATGGATGTCTTTTGAGGGGCACAAAGGTTTAGTGGAACTTCAGTGGTGAAAGAGCTGGGGGAGTCATGAGATGTTGAAGTGTATGAAACAGAGTTTGGGGTCTTTGTGTGTTTTAATGGGGCTCTGATGATGAAGCCCCTCTTGATGGTCAACATCGCTGCAACCTTTACACAGCACTCTGGAATGCTTGGCATGCAAGGGAGGTTGGACTGTGGCCTTTAGATCGGCCGTCATTCTTTATCTACTGGTTAGTGAACCATGTCTGTGTTCTGGGATGTTTTCCATATTTTGCATGGTGTAGGATTAATGCTATTTTTGTGTATTGTTAGTTTTATGGGACTGTAGAAGGAAACCACAGGGCATCTGTATTGTGTGTAAAACTAAATCAAGTTATCTTAAATCAGACAAATTCAGGTGAACATCCTCATTAAACACTTGCTGCAGTATTTGAACAGCCGCAGGTGTATAAATATAAACTTGCTACAGAGCTGTGCAGGGGATAGCTTGTGGGTAAATGCAAATGCCGTCTCATTTGACTGCACACACAAAGACAACGTCAAAGTCAAGGTTTCTGTATTGTGACTTAGAAAGACTAATTAGCTTTGGAGAAAAATGTAAAAATAAAGACCTTTGTATGCTCTCCTGTTGGAGTACTTAGTCAAATATTTGCAGTTTTACTTCCTATCCATAACCCATCAGAATTAGATGAGACTTCCACCACCTTGCCACAGAGGTAAATGTGTAAAATGTGCAGATGTATACTAAAAACCTCGACAGTATTAAATGACTTAAGGATGAATATAGTGTGGATTGTTTGACCAGTGAGTCCTTATGAAGAGCAGATAATTACATACATGTATACTATGCACAATAAACACTGTTACTTAAGTACTTATGCTAACATTTTGCAGGTGTTTAGTCTATATTCCTGAGCAAATAAAAATATATAAATAAATTAAAAGGGCATATAGTGGCATTTTAAAGAACAATCGATTATCTATTTATTATTATGACTTTTTATTTATTTATTTTTTTTTTTTTTACAAATTTTGCTTTGTAATGTAACGCCATGAATTTGGGCCTCTGTCTCTTTAAAACTTTGTAGCTTTCTGAATCTCCACTTTTAGGAAGTCATCACAACATGACTCCTCTATTAACAACATTTCTTTTTATCAGTGTTGCTCTGTGAAGCAGCTCCTACAATGAGCTCAGCAGATGCGCAGTTCCACCAGGTGTTTGCTAATTGCTGCACTTTTTCAGAAGTGCATGTTTCTGACTGTTTCTGCAGTCAGAAACATAATGCTCCACCTAGTCATTAAGTTCAAAGTGAGAAATTTTGGAAGCAGATTATTTAAGCTAAATAATCAATACGCTCTATGGAAACACAGACTAAATATGTTATTGTTAGCCTACCATTAGAACCAAAGATGTAAATTCATTAGACTGCAGCTGGATGCCAATTCAAAAATGAAATTAGAAATGTAAGGTTGTAGAACACATTTGACTGATGGGACTGTCAGCGTCAGAAAACCCCCCACAAATAATGATGCAGTAAATAAACTGTAGACCATGTAAAACTATAAAATAATACATTACTACTACTAACTTTTTAAGCCAATCACTTGAAATAAGACGGAGAATCCAGATTAGTGATGCACAATCCTGATCATTCCTGTTGGGTCTTTCATCGTGACTCCTCCCTCCAAACCCACCTTAAAAATCCTGTCATAAGGTGTCACTGATGTTCTGTGAGAGTCTTTATTTGGATGTAAAATGTGTGCACAGTGGAGATATTTTACCAGAAAAGTAAGTAGGCAGATACAACTTTGTTTTGACATGTTTTACACTACCAGGCCCCCTCATGCTGTCATACGTTGCTGTCTGCTCACCTTCAGCTTAAAAGCATCACCCAGAGACCAGCCCAAATATAGCAGAAAGAAACAAAGCAGGAGACCTGGAGGCTGAAGAATGAAAGGTTTGTACATCAATATTCTTTGAGCCTTTTGACTGTTTTCGAAGTTTTCTTCCAGCACAAAAGAGAAGCAAAGTTTCATTTAATATTTATGCAACAGATATGACTTTTTCACTTCTGTAGAGATGATGGGCAGTTGACTTGAGCAGACGCTCATCTTGCTAAAGCTGCAGTATGGAGCTTTTAATAAAAATATGTTTTTTACATGTCAGTTAAAACCAGGGGTGGACAGTAATGGAGTATGTCTAATTGAGTGCTGTACTTAAAGGGGCAGTATTATATAAAATCAACCTTTTTAAACTTCACACCACATTATAATGTTATTCCCTCATTAAAGGGTTGTCTTGATTATTCCATGCTTTTTTGATAAATCCTTTAATCTCCTGTGGCAACCATTCAGAAGTGCAAAACGCCTGTGTGGACCTAGCACGGACAAAGTTCCCCCTCAGAGCTGCAGTTTCCAAGCTTCTACCTCACAGAGGAGACCCTCCCTGCTACTGCCCCACTCAGCTCCTTCAGACTAGCCAGAAGCAA